TTTACTTGTCTTTGCTGCTATGTTTCAGAATGTGAAGGCTGTGTTTGATGCTGCAATCAAGGTTGTTTTGCAGCCACCTAAGCCAAAGAAAAAACGAAAGAAGAGCAGAACATGTGTTTTCCTTTAATTGGTGTTCTTGTTTGATTCGGATGCTGCAACATTCGGAACCTTTTTCCCAAGTTTTATTTTTCTTAATATATGTCTTCCAAACTCTACCTTCATTCCGTTTTCTTATATTTTTTTTGTTGGAGGGTCTAAATGATGTTCCAATGTATCTACTGGTTATACAGATGGAGACTGTACTCAAAAATAAATATTGTGATGAAAAATGTATTATAGCAATAGTCTATCACTTTTATTTGAGGTGTCATTTTGAATAGTTGGCAGTGGAATTGGGTCTCCTCTGGGTTTCGTTCACCACTGCAGTTCCCAGTTTCAATCGTTTGCAGGTTGTGAATTATTAACTCCTGATGATGTGAATTGTTAATTCCTGAAGTTGAAATGCTGCAGATTCAATTGATAATAATTGAATTATGCATGTTTTTGCATTCAATTGTGAAATGCAGTGGTGTTTGGATTACACAAATTGTACATTATTCTAAGCATGTCTCAAAATTTGTGTTTCATATTATCATTCTTTACTACATATATCTTAGCCTTCTGTTGCCACTTTAATGTGCATTTAAAAGTGGGTTAATTGGTTGTTAGAGACCCACAACCACGAGTTTAATATTCGAAAATTATGTAATGTTGCAATTATCAATAGAAACCAAATGTTATTCCTCTTAGCGTAAGGTGTAAGCGTAACTTGAACCAAAGATTGAGAAACGCAATGCCTTACTATTTGTAACATTTAAGAAGCATTTCCACTCATTAGATTTTCAACAATAGCAGTTCGTGATTTTTCATAATTTAATTATATAAGAAACGCTAAAACTTACAACAGCGCCTGTAGCTCAGCGGATAGAGCGTCTGTTTCCTAAGCAGAAAGTCGTAGGTTCGATCCCTACCTGGCGCGTCTACCCTTTTAAATGTAATTCTTGTTCGTGTGGCTTCAACTCTCTCGCTCTTATGTCGAGTATCATGCTTCCGAGACTACACTCCACTTTTGTAAAACCCGAAACCTGGCAGACCGGACCGGGTCATACATTTGAAAAAAAAAAAAATCAAAACGTTTTTTTCTTATAAAAAAAAATGTAAAACTCATTCAAAGTTTTTTTGTAATTTTATTTACAAGTACGCTTTTCTACAATGAAATCAAAACTGTTTCATTTTAAAAACTTTTTGTAATTTTATTTGCAAGTATATTCTTCTACAATGATCTCGTCGTTTCCAATACTGAATCAATTTGTGAAATAATAAATTAGAGAATGTGACATATGTCTTTTTAGTGTAGTTGAATTTAAAAAATATAAGTTCAATGTCATTGAGGGGTATGTTTATGAGAATTCTGAGTTACAATTTAAATTGAAATAGTAATAGAATGTATTTTTATTTATTTATACTTCATGTTTTTGAGCTTATTTAGTGAACCTTGTTTAATTCATTTTAGATATGAAAAATATAATTAAATTTATATATTCATATTTATATATATTTTTATATATCTATATATATATCCAGGTCAACTGGTCCGACCAATGACCCAGTGACCCAGTATTCCGACCGGGTCAATGCCCGGGTCAGGTTTAACAACACAACTACACTCACTTCATAAATAATAAATTAGATAAGGATTTTGAATCTTTCTTTTTCAGATTGATTTTTTTAGTTTAATCACAAATAATATCTTTATTGTTTTTTTAATTAAAAATTACAAATTTTGATTGAATTTTTGTATCGTATGATACACGTATAGTATCATATCATTCGATGCAAACTCCTTTATAATACAGCTCAATTTACGTATTGCTGAGCTTGTGAATCATATCGTATTGCATGAATTGTATCGTGTACCGTACGATATTGATAACTATGATATCATTTATCTGGGTAGTGACTCTCCTAACGTATGTTGCACCTTCCAATATGTTAATTCTAAAAAATGTTAGATTTCGATAAATTGTGACACATTTTGATATTAAATAATATTTTTAATTTATATAATATATATAATATATAATATTTAATAATTTAACAAAAAATAAAGATAAACTTATAATAACTATCAATTTTGCAAAGAAATATAAAATACCACAAATATTTATATTAAACTCAATAGAATAGTAATTATAATCCAACGAATCTAATATTTGAAACTAACGCAACCTTTGAATTATATTTTGAGCCTCTACAACGTGTGTTGAAGTGTCGACATATCAGATTTTTTGAAGTGTGTACACCAAAACTCCTAACATTGCTTAATATTTATGTAACTTTGCGATTAATTTCGTACTAATGTCTGAACTCTGAATTGAATATGAAGGATTGATCAGCGCTTTAGCCTCTAACTAGATTTCGCATGTGCCACTTTTTTACAAGTAATTTTATGTCAAACTTCAAATATAGGGTACTAATCCAAAAAAATAATTAAATAATGAAAATGAAGAGATTGTAATTGGATTAATAAGCAGATAGAATGTTCACATCAAGTGGAACATTCATTGGCTGAATCGCAACGTTGCAGAAGTGATGCTCACCAACTTGGATTGCAACTTGCAAGTGGTTTCGTAGTACATAAATGACTTACCTAGGCTTTCTTTTCCGTGTCTAGTATGAAAACGGCGAATAATTATATGATAAATCAGCGTTCAAAAGTAGTATTTAGATTTCAAACTTCACTGCTGGTGATAAAATAAAAATATAATAATAATAATATTATACCAAGAAGCTGGTGAACCTTCTACTTTTACCTTCATCGAAATCAAAACAAACAAACGTTGGGAACAGTGACCGGAATACTATGTTTTTTTTGGCAATTTTTTAACAGATATGCAAATAATATTTTTTATCAGATTGTCACGCGTTAAAATTTGCTATGCGTGGTAGGAAATTTGATAGTCAATAATTTTGTGACACATAATATATTTTCACAAAAAAAATTGTCTGTCACGTGTCCAAGTTTGCTATAATTGGTAGCGAACTTGGTGGAAAAACTGATTGGACTAAATTTGCTATCAGAGGTAGCGAACTTGATGTGATATGTGGCACAAGCTCGTTACTCGATAAAAATTAATGCACCAATCACAATAAAAAAAGAATACTAAGAAAAATGACTATTTAATTAATGCACTAATCGCAATTAATGTATCAATCACTAATCACAATTAGTGTACCAACAAGATTAACTCTTGATTGTATCAATTACAATTAATATACAATCACTAATCATTTTGGAAAGTCATAAATTTTGATTCAAATATCCAAATCAGATAATTTTTTATCACACCTTATTTGACATATTTTATTTCTCGTAAATATCGTTCGAATTTATAATAATGATATCATAAACAATTAATGTACCAATCAAAATTAATTTTGAATTGTACATTAATTGTGATTGGTACATTAATTGGGATCAAATTTAATTGTGATGGGTAATTGGTACATGAATTGTGATTGGTAATTAGTACATTAATTGTAATTGATAATTAGTATATTAATTATGATTAGTACATTAATTAAATAGTCATTTTCTTTCGTATTTTTTTATTGTGATTGATACATTAATTCTTATCGAACAACGAATTTGTGCCACATAGCACACCAAGTTTGCTATCCCTAATAGTAAATTTAATCTAATCAACTTTTTCTGCGAAAGTGTCATGTATCACGAAATTAGTTATAGCAAATTTCTAACGTGTGGTATGTAATTGCAAAAAAATATGACTAATTGGTAACTGTTCCCAAATGTTGCCTTGTTTTTTTTTAGTGAATGTTGCTTTAATTTTCTATAGCCATGGTCCGGAAATGCTCGCCTGCCTCTAATGATAAGACAATCAATTTTCCATTGACCTGATTAATTAGTCCAATTCGATTTTTTTGAACCATGTCAAAATTAATAACAAAGAAACATTCAAATCACTTTTAATTTGTAACTCTTGAATAAGTTAAGCTTAATCTACATTGGCATCAAAAATCTTATTTCAGTTACATTTTAATTTTATCAAGACCTTTTTTGCCCGTTACCTATTATTTTATCAATTCAGTAAAATGGCTTTTGAATCTTTGTTAACTGTTATAATGATAAAGAAATAAAAATTAAATTAAGGAATTAATATTTTTGCTGTACATATACATAAAAATAAGTATATACATGAGATAAAATTATTTCTCGAAGGAAAAATATTAAACTCTTAAATTAAATGTTTTACTTGTTATTTATTTATTTTAAATTTTTAATTAATGTCTTCTTTTTATATATCCACCAATTTATCTATTACCTGATTAATCTGATTTAAGCAGTATCAAATTCAATATAAGGGACAACTATTCCAAAATTATTTTTCAAAACTTTCATCAAATTGTTCAATTGAAAAAATGGAAACCTTTCTTATTGGATGATCACGATACTTTTCAAAAATCGAAATTTTTGATCAATGGAGAAACAATATCACCATTTTTCTTCGAGAATCAGACAAATCCTTTTCAATCAAGTTTAAATTTGTTAGTTTGAAATCTGGACTCTTTTACTCTATTTTTATTTACTTCTTATTATTTTTCTTTTTTATTTCTTTTTTCTTCCATCATTCCTTTAACCAATGATTATTGGTTAATCAATGCCCTTATTACCTTGGCTTATAGCATTGTTAAAAAAAAAAAAAAAAAAAAAAACCGTTATTTGTTATTATATTGAAGAAAAATATAAAAGGTGGTAGAAGAGTCATTTTGAACTTTGAATGCTTCTCCCTCCTTTCTACAACAGGCGCCTACCTTCCTTCCTCGTACACGCTACACGCTTCTCTCTCTCTCTCTCTCCGTGTGTGCTAAGAGTACAAAGTATAAGTAGTAGGATGCTGATAAAGTTGCATGATTTTAATAAACCAAGTCACCAACTTCAAGGCCTTAAATACCCACCCATTTCATTTCATTTTCATTCTCATTTTCATTTTCATTTCGATCTACGAATCAGTAACAGTGACACCCTCCCTCAAATCGAAATCTATTGATTTCATTCAATGGGTTCTGACGAAGACTACGATTACTTGTTCAAGTTGGTGCTGATCGGAGACTCTGGTGTTGGCAAGTCCAATCTTTTGTCCAGATTCACCAGAAACGAGTTCAGCTTGGAATCCAAATCCACCATCGGCGTTGAATTCGCCACCCGTAGCGTCCGCGTCGATGATAAGGTCGTAAAGGCTCAAATTTGGGACACTGCTGGTCAAGAAAGGTCATTCCTTTTTCACTATTGAATCTTGGGGTTTTCAATTTATGATTGGGGCTTCAATTATATATTTTTAATGGGTTTTTGTTAGTTTTGCTATTGATGAATTGATTTTGCAAAATGCTAACTGCATGATCTTTTTGGTGATTGTGGGATTCTTGCATTTCGTCTTGATGATCAGCATAAAGGAAGGATTGTGTGTATGAGAATTTGTTGTTGGGTTGAGAATAAAATAAAGAATGGGTTTAAGAATGCCCAAATGTTCCTTTACCATGGAAAACTGTTCTTTTCTGTAGTATGTGGTTGTTGCATAGGGAAGATTTTCGAGAAACATTCTAGTTTAGGACCGGGTTCGAGTTTGTGAAATAGCCATTTTGCAACAAAAAAGAGAAATAAAATGCAAGGGTAAGGTCGTGTAGAATCGACATTTGTTCCTACCCCCAGTTGGTAAATGTTCCGGTATCTCCCCTTGTGCGAAATATTGGATGAATGAACTTAATTGTTGTTTATTTTTCCCATATCCATTGTGTTTTATGGGAAGCGAATTCTTGGCACAACAATTGGCGTTGTCACCATGTGACTCAGAAGTCATATGTTTGAATTCATTTAAGGAGTCTTTTACAAATGCAAGTAATACAAGTAAGACTGCCTGCAATTTGTTCAATATGTCAAGGTGTTTGTTTGAGATAATATGTTGTTCCAGAAATATTTTCTGGGAAGCATATACATATTTCACTCTTTGTAAATAAAACATGTATATCCTCTGAGAAGATGGCAGAAGACATGACTTCTCAAGTTTTGCTTGTTTTATGTTGTCCCAACTTCAGGCACTTATTTGAAATGAAGTGAGGTAGAGCCCTGAGTCAGGGACCAATTATAACCCTAAAGTATGATTGTTCCAATTTGATCAAATACTTAATGAAATGGATTGGTAACTCTAGTGTGAAACGTAGGCAAATGTTACTATTATCAAGTGTGATTTAATGGGATGCTTGGGTTTATTTTCATCTGCCAATAATGAGAATGGTAAAGACATATTGCAAGAACCTGGTGCAACACATTCTGGGAGTGGGAGGGATGGAAGCAAGCGCAGGCTGTATGAAATACAGTATATAATAAAATATTTGAATTTAAAGAAAAAAAACCTTTTACGATTATCATATTTGCATCCTTGCTGTTCTTACTATAGTCTAGACTTACAAAACTTGCAATGTTCTTTTCATCTACAACATGATAATACTTACAAATCAAAACTAGATAAATTATTTATATTCTTATTTCTTAATCGTATATTTATCAATCTCTCTCTCTCTCTCTTTTTTTTTTTTATCATAGATACCGTGCAATCACGAGTGCTTACTATCGTGGAGCTGTTGGTGCATTGCTTGTGTATGATGTTACCAGACACGTGACTTTTGAAAATGTGGAGAGATGGTTGAGGGAGCTTAGGGATCACACAGACACCAACATTGTAATCATGCTTGTGGGAAACAAGGCAGATCTTCGGCATTTGCGTGGCGTGTCCACGGAAGAAGCCACTGCATTTGCTGAGAGAGAAAACACATATTTCATGGAAACCTCTGCACTGGAGTCCTTGAATGTGGACAATGCTTTCACAGAAGTGCTTACTCAGATATACAATGTTGTGAGTAGGAAGACTCTTGAGAAGGGGGATGACCCTGCAGCATTGCCACAGGGGCAGACCATCAATGTTGGCAATAGAGATGATGTCTCAGCGGTTAAAAATACCGGATGCTGCTCAGCATAGTTTGACAGTTTTTTTTGTATCAGTTCATGATTCAACTATAATCCTCATGATTTTGGATCCAAATGAAATGTTTGATAACTGATACTTTTTTCTTTTTTTCTTATACATTTGTCCTACATCTTTTGGGAAGATCATTATTTTATTATGTTCTTTTGTTGGTGATATATAGGATTGGCCTCAACAGCCCTTTATTGTTGTCACAATGCAGGTGTTATCCTCACATATCTGTCTTGATCTGTTTTTTTTAGAATGAGTTGCACTGAACCCATAAAAAGTCTCATTGATTTTCACTCACTATCAATATTATTTGGACAACATGAAAAACGAATAAAATCACATGATAATAAATAAAACAAAGAATCAAAGCACCAATTTAATTTCCTTTCATTGATTTTGTTAATTTGAATTGATTTTTTTGTATGCTGCCAAGAGTCATTGCTTGTATTATAATTATCGTGAACTCTTGACAACCCGAAAGGATGTTTGTTTCAAGCTATATAAAATTATAGAACTAAGCTGTCTTAACCAAGTTACTCACTCCGTGTTTGTATGAATTATTGGTTTCGCACTCTAACACAATTACAAGATTTGCACGAAAAAAATAACTTGTCTTTTTCTCAAAATCTCAAACTTGAAAATGTTTCGAATTTAACCCACTTCCGTTCCAAGACCTCCTTCACAGTCCTTCAGCTCCACTCGTTCACTCGAACTCTAACTCAACCAGTGTTGGACTTCCTCCTTGATGCTAAGCTCAAAGTTTATTGAGGGGTTTAAAAAATCCTAAACCCCAAATCTTCTCCCATCCCCTGTAAATACATTAGTTGTGGGACGAAGGTAGGTTAGAAGAAGAAGAGAAAGAAAAGAAAAATGTTGATTTGTGAGATTTGAGGGATTTTGAGTGAAAAGCTCAAAGCTTTGATTTTGAGGGCACCTCTAGGGAGAAACTTGAGTGTTATACCTCCTTAAGAAAGTTTGAGTGAAAACCACCATTGTAGATGAGGTTTCAGTGTACTACCAACACCATTGTTGGTATGCTTGATCTTTTGTAACCCATTATTTTCATAGTGGAAGTTTGATTCTGGACTAGTGTCTTGTGATTTTTAACTTCTTCACATTGGAGAAGGTTTTCTCACGTTAAAATCTGTTGTGTTCTTCTCCTTTTCTCGTCTATGTGTTTTTCATTTTTTTCGCTGCTCTGGCCGACTTGGTGATTCAAGCCAAACTCTCTGATTAAGCCAAGCTCCTAGCTCGATGTTTGACTTTTGCAAAGGCTTCTTAGCCGAGTTGAGGGAATCGAGTTACCAACAGTGGTATCAGAGCCCGGGTTCGACGGGTTCTGAGAGTGATGAGATGGAGACCAGTGGTGTAAGAACCCGCACTGTTAATTTAGAAAATTAAATGAATAATTATGATATTAGGAAATAATTTCATAATTGGCCTAGAATAATTATGAGAAAGCTTAATTAATTATAGTAAGTGATTAATAATGTTGAAAGTCGTTTTTCTGACGAAAAGTGCAGATACTAGTTCTGCCTCACGGTATAAATGCGTACCGATGAAGTATCCTGGAAAATTATGAAAAGTATGTATATATCACTAGAATAATATCTAGGACTAGTATAACAAGTTTGGAGTCAAAATAACGAGATTTGGTGTCATGACTGATACCGGCTACGTAAAAGCGCGTACCGACAAAGTGTTGCGAAAAATAAAATAAAAATATGACAAATCTTAAAAAAATGGCTATGATCAGAATCCAAATTTCGGGATTAAAAAGATAAGCGTAGCTATTAGTGCCAATATAGTGTGATTAATATTAAATGGACTATAAATAGGAAGGGGCACATAACCCTAGGCTGATACTCAGCCTTTCTACGTGACTCTGTGTGCGTCCCTTTTTGATATTGGTGTCTTCCCCACTTGCCACCACCATTCTTCTTCCTTGAACCCTCCAAAGTGATCATCTTTATGCATACTTCTTTCACCAAAATAGATTAGGTGTGTGAGACCAAGCCTTGTGAGGGTGTGAGGCCACTCATTACTGAGTTTAGGCTTCTGAGTTGAGGGGTTTTGTGGATGTGTATGAGAGTTTTCATTGGGGAAGCCATGTTCATGTTTTTGGTGGTGTCAAGAAGCCACCTTTTGGTATAAAGGACCAAGCTTGAAGTGCATTTTCGTAGCTTTGGAGTGGCTAAACTATAATACTATATAGAGGGCTCCATATCACTTTGATTTTCTGAGTTTTGAGCCTTGGAGGTAAACCATTATCACCTCTTTTGCATAACCATGTTTTGAGCTTGTTTGAATCATTAAAGAGTTAAACTTTGATCATTCAAGTTAAATCTATGCTTAAAAGATGTTATTGAAGTTCTGTTTGTAGAGTTATTGGACTTCCAATCGCATTTGGACCCTTAGAAATGGTATTATCTAGAAACTGCACGAGTTTCTGCATCCTGTCTGATAAGTATTCGAATACTTTTCGTGGAGTATTCGAATACTCATCAGCAGGTAGTCGAATACACATTGAAGGAGTATTGAGATACTTTTCTGGGAAAAAAATATTCGGATACCTTAGAAAAGTATTCGGATACTTGGTAGTATTCGGATACTGTGGAAAATGTATTCGGATACCTTGTGGTATTCGAATACTGTGGGAAAAGTATTTGGATACTTTGTGGTATTCGAATACTTTAGTGAAAGTATTCTTCGAATACTTTAGTGAAAGTATTCTTCGAATACTTTAGTGAAAGTATTCAGATACTTTCTGGAGACATGGAGTATTCAGATACTCATCGAGGAGTATTTGAATACCTCCTGCAGATTTAGTATAAAATCACCTAAAACAAGTTGAAAGCCTTAAACACTTAGTGAAACCTTGAGCTTTGAATAATAATGATTATTTATGTTAGAAACAGACTGTGAGGGTGCTGTTTGGTGACCTTGGGCTAGTGTTGACTTTGGCTTAGATTGATTGCTTAGAGGTAAGCTTTCGTGTCCTTAGTTTTGCCATTGTTGGTTCCACCATACCTCATAGAGGGATGGTTTATATGCATGATGTGTTTTCATGTATTGATATTTGAAATGCTATTGAGCTGTTAATTGCAAGTGCCTTATGATATGTATGTGTTGTTCCACCTAGACGGTAAGCTTGAGTACGTAGCGTCATACAATATGGTGATTCTGTGGGTGGGTGCAAGTAGCGACTTGCACTGATTGTAGGTTATAGACGTATGTAATTCCTGTATGTTCTCTGGCCAGTAGGATGTTGACACACATGACATGATTATATGCTGCATTGCACTGATTTTGGAACTTATATTATCAAACAGCTTTTGAACTTATATTGCACATGTAAGTGAGCTTATATTGCACATGTAAGTGAGCTTGGAGTATAGAAATCCTTGAGGACCCCTTATCTTACTGATATTTCTTTTTAGAGATCTCTGTAATGCCTGGCCGCTTCAAGAATCAATGACTATCCCCACATACTAACACGAGACTTTTCAGTGTGCTTTTTCCTCACTAGCACACTTCTTGGGAAAACCTTCCAAGAGGTCACCCATCCCAGAATTGCTCCAAGTCAAGCACGCTTAACTATGGAGTTCTTCCGTTCTGGGCTACCGAAAAGAAGATGCATCTTGTTAGTATAGGTAGTACTAATTAATTCTTATAAGCTCTCCCAAACTGTGCAGTCTCACACCTGCACAATCTTTGAAATCCCTCTCTTTTGGGTGTCGATTCGATTCATTCATGCATGTAACCCCCCGCTAGAAGCCTGTCAGGAGCCGCTCCTTGTTCGTGCCTCTTTGCACTAGCGATCACTCTCCGCCCTCGTCTACGCTCGGGATGTTACAATCTCACCCCACGGTTGGGGCACATTTTCAGGTTCAGGTACCTCGGGAGTTGATACCTCTAGCGGCAGGAGGCCGGAGTTGAGTTGATATGCACGCTTCTTGTTGATATGTATGGATACTGATTATGTTTACCTTCAGTATATTGTTATATGATTTGAGACTCTGTTGCCTTATTCGGTGAGCATGGGAGTTGTCCATGCCACATTGATGTTAATTATGCTTTTAGCTTTGAGTTGTATAAACTATCAGAATTTTTTCGGTCTACGTGTTGTAGTTCCGTGACTAGAAACAAATTATATATGAGGTATTTCAGTTAGTTGTTTATTTTCAATTTACATACAAACAATGTTTTGAAAAAGAATTTAAGTAATCAACTTGGTTAATAACAATGACATCATAATTGAAAAGAAAAAGTTAGTTTCCGCATTTTAATTAAGCAGCGCTTAATACGATGATATGATAACAAATCGGGTATACATGGAGTGTTGCAAGTGGAATCTCACATGATGGAGATATGTTCAAGCTGACCGCGGACAACTGCACTTACTGGAGATCGACGTTGGAAGATCATCTCTACTGTAAAGATTTATATGAGTTCATCATCCTTAAAGAGAAGCTTGAAGGCAAAACTGTTAAGGAGTGGGAGATCCTGAGTCAAAAGGCAGTATCCTTGATCAGGAAATGTATTGACAAAAGCCTCTTTGAGCACGTGTCTAAGTTCACAAACACGTACGAGTTGTGGAAGAAGCTGGAGTCCATGATTCAGAAGAAGACTCCAGGAATAAAGTACATCTGGTTCGCCGACTTGTGAAACTTGAATACAAGGATGATATGAGCATGATTGAACACCTCAACACCTACAAAGGATTGTGAATCAACTCTCTAAAGCCGAGATGAAAATTGATGATGAGATGCAGACTTTGCTACTGTTGAGCTCGCTGCCAAAAAGCTAAAATACTCTGGTGGTGACATTAAGCAACTCGGCTCCTAATGAAAAATTGAAGACGGATGCTATGACAGACAACCTCCTGAATGAAGAGTCCAGGAGAAGGGAGCGAGGTGTAATCAACATATCTGAGGCAAACGTGACCGAGAATAGATGAAGGTCCGACGCCCGAGGTTGTAGCAAGAGTCGGAGTCATGATAAGTCCAGAGGCTGGTTTAGGCCAAAATATGAGTTGAAATGCTTCTATTATGGGA